TACTGACCAGTAAGCATTTCTGCATTACTTTAACATAAACCAATATTTACAACACTTACTTATTAATTTCTTGTTGTTTAGTTGTTCAGTCGTGTCTGACTCTTTGGGATCCCATGAACAGCTTCCTCTGTCCATGGGATTCTCCAGGCAAAAGTACTGGAGTGGGTTGCCATTTCCTTCTCCAGAGAATCTTCCTGACCCAGGGATCAAGCCTGCATCTCCTGCTTGGCAGGTGGATTCTTTACCACTGAGCCATCAGGGACGCCCTCAAAGGATAGTACTCCTTCCTTAAAACTGTGAACAAGGTCACAGTAAGAACAGAAGGAGGAACAAAACAGGTTACTCACTGTGAATACTGATGTACCTTTCTATATTTTTAATCAGAGAATGCTGAGGTTAAGTTATCTTAGACTAATAATCTTATATAACATCATACTTGAATAGTACCCTATATTCAGGGACTGGGTTTTTTCTTTTGAATCTTCACTGATAATGATATAACAGATACTTTGCACTCATGTTGTGTTTATTACAGGTTGCTAACATGATGTCGGGGAAGTGGTATGTGAAGGCACATGTGATTAAAAGTAAATAAATGAAAAACAAAAGCACTCAGATATTCTTTCTTATTTCATCTCTCTCAACCACTGTTCTTCAAGTTATCAATTATCTAAGGCTCATTTAAATCCAGACTTAAAAGTAGAGCTCTAAGAATTTTCCAAATTTATTAATCTTATTAATAGTAGATCCCTTCGATGAACCATTTCAGGGCACTTAAGCAATCACTAAAGCATTTACCTTTTCAAAATAAAATCTAAATGTAGGCAAAATTTGGGTGATGATATTTCATAGGTATCTACTGAACAGTTCAAAAGAAAATAGTCAGAAAAATCTATATATAGATGTACAGTATCCTAAGGGCAGAAAAGAGAAGCTCTGATTAGGTACTTGAAAATACATGAAAGAGGTCATGAAGCACAATTTCCTGGAGAGTGATCAAAAAACCACTGGACCTGAATATTCAAACTCACACATACCTTCCTGAAGGTATTTTCTACAGGCCAGACTAGGCAGGGCTTGGTCTTTAGAGCAACAAGAGAAATGTTAACAATGGCACTGCCTCCGGGGTTTGTCCTGGGAACTGTGCCATTTAATATTTTTATTAATTCTTCAGTGGATGAATGTGAACTCTAGGTAGAGAAGCACTTTGTCAGAAGTTACTAAAGACAAATCACTAGGAATTGAAGGGATGGAGAAGAAATTCTGGTTGGATTTAGGCACATCATGAAGGCAACACAGCCAAAGTGCATCTCCAAGGCCACACAGAAGAGCCCAACTCACATGATTCTTTTCGTCTAAGCTTGTAGTCACTAAATATGTAGGTTGTGTGCTGAGTTGCTTCAGTGGTGTCCGATTCTTTGTGATGCTATGGACTGTAGCCTGCCAAGCTCCTCTGTCCATGGGATTCTCTAGGCAAGAATATTGGAGTGGGTTGCTATGCCCTCCTCCAGGAGATCTTCCTGACCTGGGGATCGAACCCATACCACTAGCATCTCCTGCAGGCAGGTTCTTTACCCCTAGTGCCATTTGAGAAGCCCATATAAGAGGTTACTCAGGCTATATGAAAAATGGAGCCCAGTAATGTCCTCCTTTCTAGATGGTGCAATGCCAACACTGTAAGATACATGATAAAATACATAAAACTGTAAGATACATATGAAATAATCAAAGCATTACACAAGATAAAAGGAAGAAAAAACAGGGCTATGATTAAAAATGTTTGTACAGTTCTGTTCAGAATATCAAATCTATTGTGACTCTATTGACAGCTATTCTTTCTCTAAGCAGAGATGATCTGCTTTCTCTAACTGCACTACAGCAGTTTTTGGCACCTCACAAGTATTTTTCACATTGTGATTTGTACTCTAGATATAAGTATAAATTTATCGACAGCTGAGGTCCTGCTGGTGTATTCTGCATTTTGCTAGAAAAATAGATTTCCAACAAATGGTTGTTAAAGGCAGCAGTTAAGAATGTAGGCTCTGCAGCCTGAGATGGTCCAAGTTTAAATCTTGGATCTACCACTGAGTCTGAGATCTCAAGCACATTTCTAAACTTTGTGTCTCCATGTTTTCATCTGTAAAACCTGGCATAGTAATGGTTTGTAGTAGGATTATTGTGAGGATTAAATGAGATACTATGTGCACTAGTTTAGAACAGTACTTCATATATAGTTGAGTGTTAAATGTTAGCTAATAATCAGAGCACATTAATAAATGATTAACTAATGACTGATACACAAGTGAAAACTATAATGAAAATTAGAGGGATCCTCAAGCTGAGGTTTCTTTGAATTAGCAACAGTATTTCTCCAGATGTAAGTCTTTCACAATTAGATAAAATACAGGATATGTCCAGTTAAATTAAATTGCATGTAAGCAACAAGTACTTTTTAAAATATAATTAGACCCCAAACAGCACATGGTAGGAGAAAACTGGTAGAAACAGCATCTGGGAGAATAAGAATGTTGGTTTTTTGTTTTAAGGGAAAGTCTCTAAATCTGAATTGATACTTTCCAACTATGGTATTTGAGAAGACTCCTGAGAGTTCCTCGGACTGCATGGAGGTCAAACCAGTCAATCCTAAAGGAAATCAACCCTGACTATTCATTGGAAGGACTGATGTTGAAGCTCCAATATTTTGGCCACCTGATGCGAAGAGCTGACTCAGTCGAAAAGATCCTGATACTGGGAAAGACTGAGGGCAAAAGGAGAAGGGGGCGAGAGAGGATGAGATGGTCAGATAGCATCACCAATTCAGTGGACATGAATTTGAGCAAATTCTAGGAGACAGTAAAGGACAGAGGAGCCTGGCATGCTACATACAGTCTATGGGGTCACAAAGACTTGGACATGACTTAGTGGCTGAACAACTCTGAATCTTAAAAATCACTTCTTCTTTAAAAATCACTTCTTCCCTTCTTTATCACTTTGAGGATGTCCTCTTTGCCATGCATACACTTTTCTTAACATCAACAAGTTGAGGTAAAAATGAGAATTTTAAACTAGATACAGGTGTCTACTATTCTTGGATTTCCTACGAGCCACAGTGCACTCTGCCCACCTGGGCTAGAAGAAGTACTGCTGGGATCAGTCCAAATTCTGGTAAATCAAACCACTCTGCATGCCCTCAAAGTATGTATTTAGGTCTCCTTTCCACCCAACTTGAATTAACTGAACAGACCATCGCAAAGTACTAATTTTAACAGTTTGCTCTGAATATTTAAACTATGGTCTTAAAAAAGCAGTGGCAAAATTTCCCATATTGGCAGGGGTTTATTTGAGTACTGGTGGTTTAAACATGCTAAGTGCTGCACTCAATATGTCAGCAAATTTGGAAAACTCAGCAGTGGCCACAGGACTGGAAGAGGTCAGTTTTCATTCCAATCCCAAAGAAAGACAATGCTAAAGAATGCTCAAACTACTGCATAATTGCACTCATCTCACAGGCTAGTAAAGTAATGCTCAAAATTCTCCAAGCCGGGTTTCAGCAATACGTGAACTGTGAACTTCCAGATGTTCAAGCTGGTTTTAGAAAAGGCAGAGGAACCAGAGATCAAATTGCCAACATCCACTGGATCACCGAAAAAGCAAGAGAGTTCCAGAAAAACATCTATTTCTGCTTTATTGACTATGCCAAAGTCTTTGACTGTGTGGATCACAATAAACTGTGGAAAATTCTGAAGGAGATGGGAATACCAGACCATCTGACTTGCTTCTTGAGAAACCTGTATGCAGGTCAGGAAGCAACAGTTAGAACTGGACATGGAACAACAGACTGATTCCAAATAGGAAAAGGAGAACGGCAAGGCTGTATATTGTCACTCTGCTTATTTAACTTATATGCAGAGTACATCATGAGAAATGCTGGGCTGGAAGAAGCACAAGCTGGAACCAAGATTGCCAGGAGAAATATCAATAACCTCAGATGTGCAGATGACACCACCTTTATGGCAGAAAGTGAAGAAGAACTAAAGAACCTCTTGATGAAAGTGAAAGAGGAGAGTGAAAAGGTTGGCTTAAAGCTCAACATTCAGAAAACTAAGATCATGGCATCTGGTCCCATCACTTCATGGCAAATAGATGGGGAAACAGTGGCTGACTTTTTTGGGCTACAAAATCACTGCAGATAGTGATTGCAGTCATGAAATTAAAAGACGCTTACTCCTTGGAAGGAAAGTTATGACCAACCTAGACAGCATATTAAAAAGCAGAGATGTTACTTTGTCAACAAAGGTCTGTCTAGTCAAGGCTATGGTTTTTCAGTGGTCATGTATGGATGTGAGAGTTGGACTATAAAGAAAGCTGAGAGCCAAAGAATTGATGCTTTTGAACTGTGGTATTGGAGAAGATTCTTGAGAGTCCCTTGGACTTCCAGGAGATCCAACCAGTCCATCGTAAAGGAGATCAGTCCTGAGTGCTCATTGAAAGGACTGATGTTGAAGCTAAAACTCCATTACTTTAGCCACTTTATGCAAAGGGCTGACTCATTTGAGAAGACCTTGAAGCTGGGAAAGATTGAGGGCAGGAGGAGAAGGGGATGACAGAGGATGAGATGGTTGAATGGCATCACTGACTTAATGGACATAAGTTTGAATAAATTCCGGGAGTTGGTGATGGACAGGGATGCCTAGTGTGCTGCAGTTCATGGGGTCGCAAAGAGTCGGACACGACTGAGTGACTGAACTGAACTGAACTGAAAGGGTTCTAACTCGGAGAAGCCTCCTTGAGGATACATTTGCCTATCTAAAAATAGGCAGCTTTCTATAGACACCAGAACATACTTAGCATGTATTGGGTTGTATTTATAACTTATAAAGACACAGGATACTACAGGTTCATTATAAATAGTCTTCTTTTACAAATAGCAACCGAATCTATGTTTTCATTTCTATCAGCCAAGAATGCAAGAACATCAAGCTTGAAGGATTTCATCTTACCCCTCAGTACTGATTTGAGGTTGAGCTTGGCTTGGCGGTGCAGGTCCTCTACGCAGGGGGGCCTTGTGGTGGGGAGGAACACATTCTCCTGCTGGTGCCATGGAGCAGTGTAGTGGACTGTCCATCGACTCTCCTCATCTAGGTTGGAAACAGCTGTAGAAACAGAGAATACATTCAGGTGTTAAATTAACTACGCTACATCAAGATGGGTTCTGGGTACCTAACACACTCTCAGGTAAGGATCAGCAAGGGAGAAATAGAACAAATTTTGAATAAGATTCAATCTTAGGCCCCAGGGGTCCTTTCCACTGTGTTTTGTGTTTGTTCAGTTAAATGCTTCCCAGCTTTTTAGGCCCTTCTTTTACTCCAAAGTTAGAAAATGATTAACAAAATCTGCGTCACTCCATCATGACAAATATCTATTAGTCAACTACACTATGTTACTACATTAGTAAATGTTAGATTGCAAGACAGAAAACAACTTTTCTACTAAGAATCTGGCACCAATTCTTTCCCCTCTAAAGCATTATTTTAAAACATCACTGTTATAAACTCATTTAAATTTTTAAAAACTAAGCATAAACATTCAATGTAATACATTTAAATAGCATAGTTCAATTAGAAATCCATTTGTGCTGAAAAATGTTCTCTGCATTTCCTGCTTTTATGGAATATGTTCATATTCAAATGTTTTTAGAAACTCCAATGCAATTGATTTTTCCCAACATAATCCAATTTCATTGAATTTTTCCAACACAAAAGAGACTGAGGATATCAGAGGAAGAAATGGTAGGTTAAATCTCTATGGTAATTTTCCTTTTACATTTTAGGTCTTAGGATTGCTTTGTCTATTGAATTTTTCCTGACAACACAACCCAAGAAGGGCTACCAATGGATCCCAACATGAAACTGACAACACCATACAAATTCAACAACAATTTTTAAAAATACTTTTTATATAGCCGTCGCTGTAAGCCAACATTGGAGAGACTAGAGAAGTTTGAGAAGGACTCTGTGTTGAGGTGTTTACTGAGGGTGACAAGTCTAACACCTGTAAAACCAGCAGATATGACAGCTGTCAGTCAGGGGGAATCTTCCCTTAGCTCCGACCTATGCCACAGAAGACACACTGGGCATACGCGTTTCTACAACAGAATGTGTCCCTGGAAATGAGACCATAAAGTAGATTCGCAAAATAAAACGAACAGGCATACATGAACTATTGAACCTTTCTATACGAACATGTTTAAAATTAACTCAATGTACCTAACAGCTCAGCTATTACAACCATTCTACAGATCAAATGAGCTAATATACGGAAATGAAATAACAGCTTATGAAATAACTCATGAAAAGAATGGTTGTGGCAAGATTAGTACAATTACTTGAAGGGAGTCCCTGACTTTTAGAACCATCGATGAAGAGGAACTTGGCCTTTCTCAGCACCCCTGGGAACATGAGTCACCCCACTGACCAGGGTGAGGTCAGCCCTCACCCCGTATACCATCTTCTTTACAGGTACTGAATTCCATAAGCTGGACGTTAAGTAATTCACTTCCTGAATCATCCCACTCTCTCCAGTGATAAGATACATTAGTACTACGTATGTAATATACAACATAATGAACACAATTAACACTGTTGGGTTATATATAAAAGTTGCTAAGAGAGGATGAGATAGTTAGCATCACCAACTCAATGGATAAGAATGTGAACAAACTCCAGGAGATAGTGAAGGACAGAGGAGCCTGGTGTGCTGCAGTCCATGAGGTCACAAAGAGTCGGACATGACTTAGCAACTGAACAACAAGATAATATATCCTACGAATTCTCACCACAAAGAAAACATTTTTTCTTTTTCTTCTGTATCTATATGAGACTATGAATGCTCACTACACTTACTGTGAGAATCATTTCATGATGTCTGCAAGTCAAATCATTATGCTATACACCATAAATGGATACAGTGCTGTATGTCAATTATACATCAATAAAACTGGACAAATTTTTTTTTACAAATCACCCTACTTTCTCTACAAATTGCCAAATGGAAAAATAAACATTGAGAACTAGACATCAAGTTAAAAACAGAAACGTCCTGTGTGCTTTCTGCTTTTAATGTTTACTAAAAGCTGCATGTAAATTAGGCACTTGGCTTTTCACATAACCTCTGTGGAACAAATGTTTTGCATGGTACATAGAATTATCAGTCGTAATCTATAAAATCCAAACAGCCCTGACTTAGTTCTTAGTTATGATCTGAGAATCTTGCACAGGGTGGAACCCGCTGTATGTCCTCCAAAGAGTAGCCAGTTAATGATAAGGTTTTGTGCTGATGCCCATTTACTTCAAAGACTGAATTATCATACTTCATAGCTGGAAAATAATAAAAATGGAAACTCTTCCTATTCACCAATTACAAATCAAATCCAAGTGATAGTGTCCAAGTAACTGCACATTCAGGGCCACCATACGACTACCAACTGGCTCCTAAGAAAGAACAGTTGTCTCTCCCTGGTGTATCTCACTCTTGCCAGGGTAGATTTTAATCAGTCCATTCAAAGACAATCTTTGACCAGGTGAGCCGTAGAAATGAACCCCAAGGGCTGTTCATTTGCTTTCTCCAGTTTCTCTTACCAATGCTCCTACCTACATTTATGCAGTTTAAACCCATGGCCCCAAAACTAAAATAAGATAAACCAACAACTATGTAAAACCATGTATAAATAAAAGTTATACTTTGCAAAGAATGAAGAAGCACCTGGATTTAAAGAAATTGAAACCAACTGTAAGTACATAATGAAGCCACACAACAAAAGTTGTGTACTTTACAATGACTGATCAGTCTAGACAGAAGCTGTCCTTACGCTCTTAAATACCTAACAGAGTGTAGCAGAGTTGCTGAGGATCATGCTCACCAAAAATATGTAATGCATCACACAGGGGCCCTCATATTTAGCCAAAGAATCAAAACACCATACACTGCACATCAAGGCAGACATAAAGTAAATACAAGGACTTTTTTTCCCCCTTCTTCAAAGGATTATTACTTTTTTTTTGAGAAGCCCAACAGAAGTGAATTCACCTAAAATCCCAACCATAAACAAGTAAGTCATGCTTTAAAAAAAAAAAAAATCACAAAATTCTGCCCTAGAGTTACAAAGGTCTGAGGTATTTGAACTTGGTATAGAAAGGAGTTTAACAAACACCAATTATGCTGTTTTACGCTCTTAATTCCATCACTCAAAAGGAAAGTTATACATAAAACACACACACACATACTCACATATAGTGCAGAGAAAAGAAACTACTTACTTTTCTTCTTAAAAAGTTTAATCAAAGACTTGATCTTTGTATTAATGAAGACCACCATTTCCAGGACATTACATAGGATTTAGAAATTTGAATCCCATTAAAAGCTCAGTCCAGCAAGCAGGTGGCAATCGGCATCCTTCTGCTCCAGATTCTAACTTTTTTCCTCTGGTCTTGAATCCTCAGACATCTGCCTGGGCTGATGTAACTTTGAGGTTGAACTTATTGTCAGGCAGTTACAAACCATTAACAATCCTTGAACCTGAAAAGCTCCCACTGAAACCTAATCTTTAAGGCCGAGAGTCACCAGTGACAATGTGTACAGAAAGAAAGAGAAAGCCAATCGCGGTTCTTATTTGCATGAGAGCCACATCTATCTTTCTGCCTTGGAGCTCAACGATTCAGTTTTCTCTCCAACAGATCTGAAGTGCCTCCTCTCTGGAGTCCACAAAAACAGTCAGTAGAGATTTTCCTTTACGGAAGTCAAGGTGAAGCAAAGGCGTTCCCCACCTTCACTGGGCCACTGAGAACATCCAGATCTTTTTACTGGAGCCGACAGGTCTCAGAGCAAGTCTGTTGATCTTTGACTCCCTAGTTAAGTCAGGCATTTGAANGGGGGGGGGGGGGGGGGGGGAGCCAAACTATTGTTTCCCCAACCACGCCCCCAGGCTCTGCCTCCCACACCAAAGTAAGGTTTGCAAGCAGTAAAACTTTACAATACAATCTCCAGGGAGCTGTAAATGATGACTTGGTTGTATTTTAGTTGCAAATTAGTACACCCAGTCTTCTCACCCAGTTGGTTTTCTTTTTCCTTGCCAGTGACGAGAAAAGCATCGTCATTGTTCTAAAGGGTGATCTTGTTTGCATCTAGCTGCCACAACTCTCTCACCACCCCCATCCCCCAAACCCTTAACTTTTCCCACCCCAAAGGAGAAAACAGATGATAAAGTAGCCTAATCATTTAAATCTGTATTTTAAATTTAAAAACCTAGCCTAAGCGCCAGGTTTTTAAAATTCCACACCAAACACCTCCCCAATGGGAGAGAAGAGGAATAATTTCTAACAAAAATTATCTGAGTTTTTCTCTTCAATGTGAATGTACTGTACTAAGTTACAGTTCTTTTCTCGTGTGCAATTGGCCACAGAGAACTGGGTAAATATAAACAGAGAAGAATCAGAAACGTGGTACAAGCAGGCACTAGAAAAGATACACTTCGGGGCAAAGAGACAGGAACAAAAAGGAAAAGAATACAAATAAAAACATATTATGAAATGCGACAAAGGAAAAGAATGCGCCTCACAGCTCTCCCCAACTTCACTTCATGGCAAAACAGTTTTTGAAACACGTTAGACAGCCTCTTACTTCATAGCTTTGGGCCAGACTTAACAACTGAATGGAAAAATGTAATAACCCTCTAATTCAAAACATTTAGTTTATAACAAAAGCTTTTAGTCAAAGAATAAAATTTATATAAGGGGCTCCCTCTAGGGAAAACTTTGGAATGATTCCTCCTCAAATCATCCCCCCAACACACACACAATCTTATTTTTTAAACAACAAAACTGAAGCAAGCAAAACCCAAAACACATATTATCCTACCACCATACATATTATCACAGATTTCCAACTTGTGTTCTTTCACCCTATACACTGCTTTATTTAAAAGTAATTACATGGCCATATGGCAAATGAGAAAAGACTGCGAGTGTAAGTTAAATTATATAATTGCTTGAAAAGTGTGCAACATTCCCCTTAAAGAGAACACATTTATAAGCAAGAGCTGCCTCTTAGCTCACTATACTCAAAACAGGCAGTAGTCAGTTCTAACCAGAAGCACTCCTATCCATGAATTTCTGAGGCTGAACATCCCCATTTGGACTTCCAATTAGAAACAGCACATGGCCTTTCACGTATGCAACAGTGGCATTGGAACATTGATTCACTCATTCAAAGACAAATACTGAACAGGTACTAAGTGTCATTCATTTGAGATTCCTCTTGGAGCTTACATTACTTGACCATACACCACAGTTATATGGTATGCTAGAACACAGTAAGTGGAATGGACAAAAGAAAAAGTTGCATAGGATAAACGGGGCTTGAAAGGAGGAGGGTGGTGGCCAGGTTGTACTATTAAATAGAGTCAGGGTAGAGCTCATTGGAAAGGTGAGACTTGAGGGAAAACTTGAAGCAGGCAAGAGCAATAGAACAAGAATCTGTGCAGTGAATCCAACTGGCTCTCATTTTAAAGAGGGAGGAGATAAGTTTATTGGGTAGTGAAACAGTTCTAACCCACCAGGACTAGTCAGAGAAGTGCTCTAAGAAATGAACTTTGGTAAGAGTAACACATGGAGTAATCTCCTTTCTCATTAATAAAACCGGATATCGAGTGACCACAGTCGTGTAAAGATAATGCCACTGGTTACGCAGCGATCAGGGGCAAGTCTGGGGTTAAAAAGCAGGCTTCACCCCAGCACCTCACGTGGTGCCCGTGGCAACGAACCCACCTGCCAATGCAGGAGACATAGGAGACATGGGTTCTATCCCTGGATCGGGAAGATCCCCTGGCGAAGGAAATAGCAACCCACTTTGGTATTCTTGCCTGGAAAATCCCACGGACAGAAAAGCCTAGCGGGCCAGAGTCCATAGGGTTACAAAGAGTCAGACACGACTGAAGCAACTTAGCATGCACCTCAGCATCCCAGGGCACACCGTCCTTCGGCATTATTCTGCGCTGCCTCTTAACTCCCTAAGTCCAGAGCTTCCAGAAGGAAACACATAAACTATGGTATTTATTGTGTTAAATATTAGAAAGGGTTTGGAAAGAGCCTTATAATTGTAAAGACTTCCCCAGTGGTTTTCTCATCTCTTACTTTACTATCTGTGTGTGCTGTGCTGTGTATAGCTGCTCAGTTGTGTCCGACTCTTAGCGACCCCATGGACTGCAGCCCACCAGGCTCCTCTGCCCATGGGGCTTCTCCAGGCAAGAATACTGGAGTGGGTTGCCATGACTGCCTCCAGGGGATATTCCCAACCTGGTCAATGAACCCAGGTCTCACGCACTGCAGGCGGATTCTTGACTGTCTGAGCCACCAGGAAAGTCCAAGAATACTGGAGTGGGTAGCCTATCCCTTCTCCAGGGGATCTTCCCAACCCAGGAATCAAAGCAGGGTCTCCTGCATTTCAAGTGAATTCTCTACCAGCTGAGCTACCGGGGAAGCCCCAGTGATTGCTCTAAACCTATCAATTCCAGCTTTGATGCACACATTATCTTTCCTGCTGTCTAAAATTCTATCGCCCATCATTTAAAAAAAATTCTCCACGGTCACCATGAACTTCTAACCAGTACCAACGGTCTTTTTCTCTCTCATCTTTCTAGTTATCTTTTTAATCATATACTACTAGTGATCCAGTTGTGGAGCTGTTTTTCATCAACACTGCAGACCACTATTTCCTTTCCTACATCTGACTGCTCCTTCTCAGGAGTCTGGCAAACTCTTAACAAGCTTCCAAGAACCAGGTGTTAAATTTCTGCCCTATGCTATTGGTGGCTCAGAGGGTAAAGCGTCTGCCTGCAATGCAGGATACCCGAGTTCGATCCCTGGGTCGGGAAGATCCCTGGGTCGGGAAGATCCCCTGGAGAAGGAAATGACAACCCACTCCAGTACTCTTGCCTGGAAAATCCCATGGATGGAGGAGCCTGGTAGGCTACAATCCATGGGGTCGCAAAGAGTCGGACACGACTGAGCGACTTCACTTTCACGCTATTTACTTATTCCCCCTTGAAACCTTAATGATTTTGCTGGTGTGAGGTACGAGTCAGCAAATCATGGCTCTTGGGTCAAAGCCAGCTGGCCCCTTTATAAATGGTTTTAAAAAATTAAAAAATAATATCTCATGACATGTGAAATTATAAGACTCAGATCTCAATGTCCGACAGTAAAGTTGTGAGGGCACAGCTATGCCCATGCGTCATCTACTGTATCCTCTGCTCTCAGGCTGCTCACAACTGCAGAGTGGAATCATGTGCCAAAGACTAACACATGCCCGCAAGCTGAATACATTTATTGTCTGAGAGGCTGACTTCTGGATGAAGCCACTGCCTTTAAACAGCCCCCTCAGTCTTCACCTCCATCTGCTGTCTTTCACTGGTCTGCCCTCCAGCTCCATCTTAACCACCCTCTACTTAAATCTCACATTATCTCAAGTTGAATGCCTAATTTAAGCCAGTTTCCTTAAATCTGCTGCTTATCAAGAACTTTTTGATATCTATTAGGGATGACAGTCAATTTTTCATTGAACCAGACAGGTACATTTAAACACCACTTAAAATGAGAGAACGAAGATCTAAAAGCTAATGCTGTCAGAGCTAAGATGAGATTCTGTGCGTCTTGATCCATCTCTAATTAGCACATGCTAAGTTTTGCAAAGGGCTTCCCTGGTGGCTCAGCTGGTAAAGAATCCACCTGCAATGCAGGAAACCCCGGTTCGATTCCTGGGTCGAGAAGATCCCCTGGAGAAGGGATTGGCTACCCACTCCAGTATTCTTGGGCTTCCCTGGTAATTCAGATGGTAATCTGCCGGGAGTGTGGGAGACCTGGGTTAAAGATATCTTTAGTTAGTATGTTCAAGTTAATATATCTTACACAAAAGTCTTTATTACAGTCCATAACTAATAAAAATATTTAAGACTAAAAATCTTCAGCTTATGCATTCAAGTTAATGTATCTTATATAAAAGATACATAGAGACCATAAACAAAAATATTTAAGAGTAAAGCATTATATTCTAAAAATGCTGTCAAATATGACAAAGAAAAATATACTCTAATATCACTTGAATAATCCTGGCAGATTATCCTGGTCCAGATTTTTTAAATTCTTTACCACCACTATTACATAAAAGTTGCCATCCTTATTTCTAAAACTCCAATAATTCTGCTTAATCTTTCACTGAAATGAAATCTTACTTTTAACCAACATTTAAATTTTTTCTTCTAGAAAGTCATCTGATCATTTCTACAGTTATCCTATTACTTCCCAGGAGCAGGTGTATAACAAACCAGCAAAGAGACAGAGGAATATTTTTTAAAGTAATACATATTCTAAACATTTTAATTGTAAATGTGCACTTATGTTCCACCAGTCAGCAAGTTCACACTGAGGACTTATTAGTTGCCTTATGTTAGGCATCCGGGTGAAATGTGAATCCAACATGGGCACTGACTTTCTTAGGAAGGTCATAGTCCAGTGGGGACGGCACACCCAAACGGATAAAAATAATAAAATCATGAATAAGTACAGGGAGAGAGATAAAGACCATGCTGTTAGCTGAACAGATGACAAAGGGCACGCAGCTCATTTATTTTAAATTATTTTTTTATAAACTATTTTTTTGTGTTTGAAAGTGAATGCATTTAGCTTTAGCCCCTATGTTGTGATCTGAAGTTTTAGGTCAGGAAGCAATGTCACGGTTTTGAAGAATTCAAGCAAATTTAAACATATTTTTAGTTACTGGTAGCCATTTCCT